AAATAAGTTACTCTACCCTACGTCGAACAAGAGTTGGCTTCCTTTCTAAAAGGCCTACTATGCTGCCTTTCTTGGCTTGCTGCCTTAGCTAGCTCCCTTTCGTACCGGTTCCCCAAGGTCTGATTCTGCCCTTAACCCGTGGAGATAACGAGATTTACTAATGATTTTATCGGTGCGAAGAATAGCCCCACTCCTATATCCTCAAATCTTATATTTTAGTTAGCTACTCACTCAGTCCACAGATTCGGATTAGTCAAAATAGAACTAGACAGATCAAGGAGAGAGAAGGCTCATCGATCAGTATTAGCTATGGTTCCTTTTGTTTATTCAGTCAGCCAGGCAGAAGTGGAAAATTAAATAGATAGAGTAGATCCTATTCTAGATGGATTAGATAGAAACCTTACCTTAGCGTGATTCCATGCCTTACTTTCCCGATAGCGGAATCTATAGATGTTCCCATGGAGCGGTAACTAGGTCCAGTGCCCAAAAAAGGAAGCTTATCGAAGGGAGGAGTGGAAGCTGCTCTGCCAATGCCCTGGCCAAGAGACGACTTATATCTACATCCATCCTAATAAAAAGCCAGTGAAAGCTCTCTTCTAGGCCCACAGCAGACTCAATAGCTGCAGTTACGGATTCCATTGCGACAAGATCGTATTCTTACTTTTCTGATTCTAATAATGCATTTATGCTCCAGTCGGGCGATTCATTCTGTCCGTGCCCGTCCATTCTGTCGTTCGAATAACATCCCTCTCGGTAAGTGAAGCTCCCTCCACCCGCCGCCCTCTCTATCCGCTAACTTCGGTACCCGGGGCATTTCCCTCACATGCTGAAGAAAGAAAGCCCCTCTCTTTTATTTATAACATTTCTAAAGAAATTTACCCAGCCAAAACTACTTCCTTTATTTCTAGTTTTCCCCGTCAAGTTGAAGAAGACTCGCCCCCGAGTCGTTAGTGCTTTCTTCACCATAATAAGGAAAAAGATCAGAAACTTTCAATGTTTCTGAAACCTCATACTCAGCTGGTAGTTCAATCTTGTAGGCATTTTCACCAATGCGTTTGAGAACTTTGAATGGTCCATCAGCTCTAGGCTTGAGCTTAGCAAATTGTCCTCGCGGGAAACGCTCCTTTCGAAGATGAACCTACACCAGATCACCTTCTTTGAACTCAGAAAACTTGCGATGCTTGTTAGCTTGAGCTTGATACTTCTCATTTTGCTTAGTTAGAAATTTTCTCGCTCATGCAACTTATAAATTTTCTTCAACCGCATCTCCACTAAAGTTGTGAGTAGCTGGAAGTGGAGCTAAGTCCAGAGGACTCTCGGGATTTTGGCCATAAACAGCTTAAAAAGGACTACTTCCACTAGCTTTAGATTAGGAGTCGAGAGAAGTCTTCGAAGAACTGCCGTAATGGCGAAAGACGAATCAGGGAAGGAGGCAAAACGATTCATAATCACTTTGCTTACGCCCTCTTCCCACCAGTACCCATAAGCCCGTTAGGGTGCGAAGCCAAGGCTTCAGGATGGAGAATAAAAACTATCATTCAGTGCCCTGCAATGCTGGTGGTCACAAGATGTACCATCCCAAGATGTGTACACTCGTGCTGGTAGCCGGCTTCTTACTCCAGATTGAGCGACGAGAAGGAATTAGCCCTCTGCGTCCTTCACAAGATTGGTCTTCGACACCAACCCATCATTGCGTGGGAACCCTATATAGATAGGGCACCTTGGTATGACCTAAGGTGTGAGCTGCATGACTGTCATCCATCCATGACTGGATGCAAACTCACTTAGGTTTTGTAGACCATGTTAGTACCACGAAGGTACCGGACCACCTAAGACGACTACAGATTCCCAAGTCACAAGCCCACGGGCATCTCTAATGATTTTATCCAGCCTCACCCCTTGGCGCACCCATCCGAGTTCACCTTTACCCTCCGAAAAGACCAGGAAAGAAAGAGAAGCAAAGATGCAACTCAACTCTTAGTTAGTGATGCTTACCAATGGAGGATGTGGCCAATACAGATCGAGCCAATTCAAAGACGGGGATTTTAACCCAGAAGAACCATCTCCATTTCTATTTAGCAAACCAATGACCTTGCTCTTCTTCCAATCCACCTACCCAATACCAAAGAAAGTTATTCCGTTAGGCTCTATAAGCCCGAAGCGAAGATATAAAGCTTTACGAATAGATCCGCAGAAAGTAATTAATTCAAGAAAGCCTGTGCAATCTCTAATTCAGATAGATTGTCCCTTCTTTCTTTGCGGTTTTCTTTGTTCTGCCCCCACCCCAGGTCGAGGTATACCTTTTGCCCTAGCTAGATTCCATTCAAAGGCAGATGCTGCCCTCCTCACTGAATAAGCAGATAAAGTTATAGTTGCCGCTAATAAAAGAGTTATTTAGCACTTTCCAATTCCAGGTGGAGATGATGTACTAGCTTTTTGACCAGCTTCGTAACCAACCTCTCTGGAGTTCCTTGGTTCTCACTCCTTATTCTTTCTTTTTCTTCGCCTAGGGCTACACGGCACTAACTTTCTTACTTGTACGGAGAGCTACACGCCCCAAGCTTTTAGATAAGCTAAAGCAAGGGGTTTCGTCGTCGCAGTTGCCCTTATTAGATGGTCTGTCCAGGAAATAACTTCCTTTTTTCAGGAGAACCCCACCCCAAAAATATAATGTCATCCAAGTTTGGGTTTAGTTATGCTTTAGTGAAGGCTTTCTCGGTCTTTAACTGGGGGCTGTAGAACTAATATTGGGCGGCTCTAAACGATGAACTACTTTAGCGACTGGGGGGGCCGGTTCCCTAAACCAAGCCTTTCCTTCTCTTCTTATAGCATAGCCCTTGCTTGGGCAAGGAAAGGCTCTAAGAAGAGGTTCGGTGGGAGCCAAGACGAATTTATAATTTCATTACCACCAGACCACTAACTAGCAGCGAAAGGTGGAATAGCTAGATTTGACCTTATTATTATCTTTTTATTGATTCGAGAAAACCTTGGATTTTCCGTTGAACCCGCTTACGGACTTGAGTTGCTACAATTGGAAAAAGGGAGCACAGGTTTGTTTGCTTATCTGAAGCCTAGAATCGTCCTCTTGTGCCATTACAACTTCAAGAAAGAAGGCCCCCTTGCACTAATACGAAATATTTAAAGAGAATAAAAGGTAAGGGAAGGTTCCGAGAAAGAAAAATCCAAGACTTCGGTTAGCGGGGAGCGCCCCTGTCCTCTTTTCTCCCCCCCTTTTCTTTTGAGAAGCCGAACCTAGTCTTTGTTTGTGTGAGTTGTAGCGGATCACGTGGCTCGATGGAGGTTCCTCAGCGTCTTTTGTTTGAATGACTACCGCGTGCCATTTTACCTCAGTCATTTTGTCCTACTTGCTTTTTTTCGAATATCCTATAACGTACCATCTAGGTCTCGTCTTGTAAGCCCGGAAGGGAAGATTAAAGTGCTCCTTCTTCTTCTTACTCCCGCCCGATCAGGGAGAATGACTCTTTTAAATCTAGGATCCGACCACTATTTGGTACACTGGACTATGTTGGTTTCCAAGAGATCACTGATAAACGGGTACTCCCGGATGGAAGGAAGGTACATATCGGATATATAATTATCTTGCTCTAAGTTCTTTATTGCCCTAAAATAGAATTGAGTACCTATTGGATGTAGGCGCGCTCTAGCATGGGGAATCGCTAGTAATCGCGGCACCGCCCATAAAAATAGTATATGTTGACAAAACGTAACATAGGGGAAAGTCCTTGTTGTCCTTTCTCGACGACAGTTCGCCAAGGTAGATCGAAAGTCCTATATAAATATAAGGAGGTACATCGCATTATTACACCGTCAAAAGAACAACAATGAAAGACGAATTTCAATACATCATCGATCTCATAAGTATCAAAAGCTCATGCTATTTGAACGCGCTTTACTAAAATGCTCCCAGCACCTTTATGAGCTCTAAGATAGAGTATTACCGGCGCCCGCGCTAATGGGATCCAAGGTTTGTCCATTGGGATTAACGATCCTTAGAAACCTCCACAAGGCCATACGCTTTAGTTTTAGTCGCCGCTAAAGTGGTATTCTCCGAAAAACCGCAGTGATTGTAAATCCATCATTGGCTAAAGGCACGATGATTGACTAGTGCCAGTACCGCTTTTTGAAAGTAAGTGAAATAAGTGAACAAATGATAAGAATAGAAGATGGGGCTTGCTTTCTGACGGAACTTAGTGCGGATTTTTTTGCGTTTCGAAGTGCATGCCCTACCCAAATTTAACAATGTTATCTCGATTTCGTCATGTTGAAACGAGTTATATAGATACAGGCTTAATTTTTAGGCTGGCGACTTATTACTCTCGAGATTCTTCGAAAACGATTCAAGATGAAAGAACAAAAAAAAGCAAAACAGCTATTTATAGTATATAAAGGAAACATCTATATTAGAGTCGCGAAACCGCTAACGAAAGGTAAGTGATTGATCTGCCGCTTTCTTTACTAACATAGAAATGCCGTCAAATGGAAAGGCGGATATCCGTGATCGGTCTAAATCGAATGAGAAGGAACATGATGCACGTCAGAATCGATATAAGGAAAACACCGCTTCATTCAGCTCCACTTATCGCCTTACTAAAAATAAAGGAGTTACACATAGTTTATGCTAAACCCTATAGGCTCTGCATATTGGAATTGCTTTACTTCTCGCTGGGAGTTATGTTAAACCAGCAGAGTAAAAGGATAGGGTTGAATATGGATTGAATGGAATAGGTCTTTCCCTAGCCGCCCGCCCTATAGAGGTAAACCTAAAATTTAAGGTGTACTTATAGGAAGACCCTTATTTCGTCACAGAACCACGATCATAGGATCTGAGTCCGATCTCGGAATCCCTTTGGTTTAGCATGGCAAATAGTTTTTAGGAGGGAACAGGGGCCTGTTGAATTTGTAAGACTCAAAACCTCCGTCAAACCTACTGAGTAATTACTAAGTTTTCATTGGATGGTTCATCTGCTCCCAAAAAGCATATGTATGTGCTTGGTGAGAAAGAAGTCCTTTTAGGTTATAGGGAAGGGGATAGTGTAAGGTTCCTCTCTATTGCCAAGAAGTAAAAAAGACAAAATTCCACCAGAAGGTATATCCTGAAGATATGATCAATCAGTCCAATGGGCACCTGAAGGCCTGGTAAATAGCCGGTATAACTTCCTTCACTCTCTGGTAGCGAGAAAGCTTTTGTAAATCAGAGGGTAGAAGGTGAAGCGGTGGTGGTGATCTAGTCTTCAAAATAAAATCTCGAAGAACTAGACAATACTTTACTTACCAGCCTTACTAGGCAAGACAGAAACCAATCCTAGAACTACAAGATGATACGACTTCTCCTAACGACAAGTAAAGGCATACCCGAACATAAAGGAGAGCGGCTTTCCCTCTATTAGAAAACAAGAATGGAAGTCCATATAAATTAGGGGGAAAGGAGAAAGCTCAAGCGCGTGGCACAAAACAGTGGGTTCCTGATCTTGTCTTCCTTCAGGCTAAAGCTTCAAGTCTCAATCCGAAGTCAAAGAGAACTATTCAACAACATCCCTCTTTTCTACATACATTCCTGGGGTTTTTGGTTGCTTGGTTTTCTTAACGTTCCTAATTTCTATCGTCAATAGATAAGGGCTCAGACGATGTTATCTTTCCCAAGGGGGAAAGCGCTTTAACATTAGTGAAGACTAGCTATATATCATGCTACTTCAGCTAGAAGCTATATGCTTCTTTTCTTAAGACTAGTCTTAAGACTCATTCTATCCTATCTATCCACCTGAGAGAGATCACTCCTGTAAAGAGCCTCACCTAAAAGACCAGTAACAGCCTATTCTTGCAGACAGCGGATTCTCTTTCTTTATCTTCATCCGCCCCTACTCGTCTTTGCCCTGCCATTTCCAGTCATTTACAATGCCAGTGATTAAAAAAAGAATAAGGAAGCCGGCTCATCTTTGATTCTAATGTGCCAATTCCTCTCTTCAATGAAAGATTGATCCGTCACTTCCCGAAGAAAGGGACTCCTAGAGTGTGAACCCAGGATCCGAGATGTGGAAACATTTGCCGAATCTACATACGCCGAAGCCTAGAAAGAAAATTTTTAAATTTAATATTATTGCTCCATCCGGAATTAATTTCCCACCTACCTTGGGATAAGTGGTTGCCGGAAGCTTGAGACTTGAATGGTAATTACTTGAACACCCGATTATGGTATTAATATAACTTAATAAGTTCATCCCGTGAGGTAATCTATACCCGTTCTATAAGGAATATAAAAACGGACTTGTATTTTTCTTTTATAGGATACTGGAAATGAGACTACAGTAAGAGTCCGGGTGTAAGCTCAAGTAGTGGTAGCTCCGTGAATAACAAACTCAATATTTAATTCCTACCCACTAAGTAAAGGAGTCCAGTCTGAGTAGCTGGATCATCGAAAGACTTCCATTAGTGAATCGTTATAGCATTTTGTATCGATAGCGCTTCTTTTTGAGGAGATTCCGTCTTTGATCCATGCTTGCGATCTCGGTTGTGAAATTAAAATTATCTTTTGGCTTGGTAATGGTTTTCTTTTTCTTTAGGGAATGAATGTTGTTCCTTTGTTTCATCGCATAGAAGTTTTGTTTTGCCCAAGTCTGAAGATAGAGATAGATATGAATCATCCGCTGTGGAAGGAGATGCGGCACTTGCCATTTCATCCCTAGCCTTCGTCTCGTATAGGACATTAGTTCAGGTCAGCCCCTTGGTATGCAAAGATCAGTATCACGCGTAGGTGAATCATTAAATGAATAATTTGCCAATTTCAATTTTAGTTATCGAGTGTAAATCAATGTTATGCCTTTTTCAGTGTTATAAATATGATTGAAACCTTCACTTTCGAACCCTGTGAGGAGTCAGCTTCCAATTGAGTCGGTGTGTTAAGTATATACTTTCCACATACATTAATAGGGCTTTTTAGCCATTCGACGTTTTGTCTCTTTTTTTCCCAATGCTGCCTGAAATATAAGAAATAATAGAAAGAAGCGGCTAAGCCCCTGCTTGATAAAGCAAAACTAAAATGCGGGTAGCTCGATCGCTTCGATTGGTTTCGGTCTAATCAATGAATGTATAGGGGTCCACCTAATCTTTCCGCAGGTACGATCTAGACGACCACATTCCTGTTCGCCTGGGCTAATCAATCCAATGGCTTCGCCCGTTCCAGTCCCCGGGATCCTAAACTAACTGGATATTCGGAGCCTATAGATCCCGCGTCGGATTGATCTGACTCCAGCGCCACCCCCACGAAATCTTTTTCTTTGTTTCTTATATGGATGAATTCTTCTTCTATGCCAAAATTCAAAGTTTATTTCTTTCTCCAAGTCTTTTACTTTTCCCTTTTCCTAGGTTTGCTTCTTGAACTTGAACGACCGGTTGTTGAGTCTTATTCCCCCATATGATCTGAGAAAGCCTCTTCTTCGTAAGAAAGCTAGGGCTAAAGCTCAGGGATGGAAGCCAAAACAAAGCGAAAGAAAACAGCATTCAAAGTGGAATGTCTAATTTTGTGGTAAGAATCGCCATTCGTAACCGCTGAAGCAGGAAGATCTGATCGCTACCCCTGAGTGAGAGGGGGTGTTTTCAGAGCAATCAAAGCAATCACGACGAACGAAAGAGGGCCGGATTCGCAAATGTGTGTTCTCGGGTTATGGATTTAACATAGTATAAATAGATTCGGCAAGAGATTGCGCGGCATAAGACTCTCTCGACCTGTTAAGCCCATACTAAAATTCCAGGACATTCATGAATCTACTCGAGCTCTTTGGCAGTCCTTACCCACCTTTCATGTAAAAAGGCGACTCGCAAATGTTTATGGTTCTAAGGGCAAGTACCTCCTACTAAACGTCCTTATTGAAAACGAAAGCGACACCCCTTGTTGAAATAAGATTCAATAAAGCAGACCACTTTTTTCCTTGGGCCGTAGAGAATAAAACAAAATTTCCCCGGAAAAGAGCATAGAATAAAAAAACACAAAAATAATACATTTTTATTTTATTGATATTCTATACTAAAAAAATACTTTTTTTTCAAATATACTTATATTTTTGCACATAAATAATACATTATATTTATTTTCTTAAGAAATTAGTGTTTTTTGCCCTAAAAACAAATAAAATTAATCTTTATTTATTTTTTTATACCTTTTACATCAAAAATACTTTTTTCATACATGAATAAATAAAAATTCTTTTTTTTTTGCATAATACATTTTATCTAATATTTATTTATTGTATTTTATTTAAATATTGTACATTTAAATACTATGCCTTGCAAATTCAATTTGGTTGTAATAATTTAGGGTTTAATTTCTTGCAAAATAGTCCCCTATTCAAATTTGTACCCCCTCCCTATATCATGTTGTAATAGTGTAGAATTTAAATTCCCGCACCTTTAAGCTTTCAATTATGCCATGATTAGAGAATTAGGGTTTGTATGCAAAATCAAAACCAACAAATAGTTTGACCTAATCAAAGACAAAATGCATGAAAAACACAATGCACACTTACACCCCTAGGGTTACAATCCACTTGTTGCCTTCAAAAATGGGCCATGGTATGCATGTCAAGTACTTTGGCAAAACAAAAACAAAACAAAAGATCATAGTCCCTCGATGACGCTATCTGAGTTGCCTAAACAAAATGATCAAGTCCCTTAAGAAATTTGCCAAAAATGCTTGACACAATTGCTATCATGGTCTATACGATGACCCGCGCCTGTCCCGTTTAACATCCTAACATAAGGTTGTTCACTAAATACAATGGTGAAGCAACACTGTTAAAAGGGTTAAAAACATAAGAAAGATCTTTGAGTAAAATAGGGTAGATAACTCTTAGTTACTTGATCAAAGCTTGCAAAAAAACATCCTTGCTATCTTCAAAACACATTTCACCACAAAATTTCAAAACCCTATTTTCAAACATTGAAAACTTTTCAAAAGACAAAAACACCTTTGTATACATTCAAACAAGAATCATTACAAAGGTTGCCACAACGATGGCCTCTTTTCAAAACATCTTTCAAAATCACACACAAAGCACCATTTCAAACAATTGAAGAGCACCATTTCAAACTGTTGTACCCCAAAATTTGCCGTCCCATATTCTTCAAGATTTGCAAAGAGCATGCTTCAAAATCTCCCCAAGGGTTGCACAGTTCAAGGGCCTCCTAACAGTCAAAAACTAGGGTTTTGGTTCTGACAAAGAAATTGAAGTTTCCAAGGGTCCAATCAAGTCCCACATGCCTACAAACATGGTCAAGCATCCTCATGCCAAGTTTCAAGACTTACAGCACAAAATTGCACAGTCAAATGCCCTAATTGCCCTACAGTCACCTGCAGGGGCAAAATGGTCATTTGACAGTCAAAAGTTCAAATTTTTGGTCAACATCTCATTTTGAAGCCACAAACATCATTTGATCAATTCTTGATCATAATTCTCAAAGCATGGCTCAAAAAGTCTCAAGATGCAAAAGTTTCCATATTTGGACAGTTGAAAAAGTCAACTGTAACTTGACCAAGGCATAACTTCCACATGGTTTATCAGAAAAATTCCATCCAAAGCTCATTTTCAAGAGAAAGACATTTCCTACAACTCCTCTTCATACTCCAAGTCCAAGAAATGCTCTCACAAAAAGTTATCAATTTCAACATTATAGGTCATTTTCAAAAGTCAACAAATAGGGACTTTATGTCAAAGACCATAACTTGAGATTGATAAATCAAAAGGACATGGGACCAAAGGCATTGGTTAGAGGACTTCAATACCTTTCCAAAGTGTCCAAGAACATGATCAAAGCTTAAAAATTGAGCAAGATATGCCTTGTGGAAGTTGGGAAATTTTTGGGAATTTTGAAAAGTCAACTTTACTTCAAATGCCTCAAAATTGCTAATGGGCCACATTTTCTTCCAAGATTCATCATCCAAAGGCTATGCACGACCATTTTGCCCAAGGGGAGTTATTTCATCATTTTTTATTATTTATTTGAATTTTTAATCACCATTAATTGATTTAATTAAACAAAATATGAAAAAAAAAATACTCATCCTTGCTTTTCAAATCTTTTTGTGCATAGAATACCTTCAAGATTTTGTGCACTATCTGATATGGAAAGAATCAAGGTGATTTGGTCATGATTGGCATCAAAACACATGGAAAATATTTGAAGAAATATGCCATTAAAATCAAATATTGGATTCATGATTACAAGGTTTTTGACTCAAATCTTTACCCTAATTCATCCCTCATATAAGTCAGAAGCTAAACCTAATGCACACAACCAGAAAGCTGCGCTCCAAACCTCTTATACACTTTGCAATTTTTGTGAAAAAATTCAAAACTGAAAACACCATTCCAAAGCGTTTCAAGGCAAAAGAATTATCCCAAAAGCTTCCTAAGACATCAAGGAACTTAACTGAGTCCTTTTCCACGCTTCCAACCTCAGGAATTGGTACATAGAAGTCAAACTGTTTCATATTTTTTGCATAATCGTGTTTCATCATTCATGCCATATTTTTGATTTCTAACGCTTGTTTTGTACTAGTCTTATCCATTTGAAGATAACCATACCATTCAATTG